CTATTCCCTCAGGCTTCGGGTTTACTGACAGCCGCTAACGCTGATTATCATCGTAATCCCGAGCAGTAGATGGGGATTCATTGCCTGCCACTGTGCGAAAAAGGAAAACTAGAAATCCGGCGAATGCTTGGTAGATGTATCCAGATACTCATTCGGCCTCCAGATAGCTTACCGGTTGAGGTTTGAATGTACGCTCCAGTTGGTCCGTGGCTCGTACCCAATTCCGGCCTTCCGATGGCTCTTTTTTAGGCTTTGGTGGTATCTCAAATATCGTGCCCCCTTCGGATTGCATGACCGTTTTGCGCCGAAGGGGTGCCGCAGCTGAACTACTATATTTCATTTGCGACGCTCGTTCAACCAATCTGGGTAGACTGGCAACAGAAACGACAGTGACGTCACTTAGCAAACATATCTTGCAACGGTTCGTACCATGCACACGGATTGGAGGCCTGTGCGAAACCCGGTAGTTGGGTTGCATCGACTTTTCGTAATTATCTTCATGCCATTCTACAAGGTCACCAGTTGACCACTTCTCTGCTTGCGCGACTCTGGACTAGGCCCAAAAAACATTTTCGACAATCGGTACCCCGGCAGGCATGCACAATAAATGACCAAATCACCGCAGTTTACGGTCCTGATCACATTTTCCAATTTAAGCTTGCTGCGTAATCGGACACTTCACTTTCAATTATCTCGCTCTGGCGCTCATTGGGACCAGCCTACACGCGCTACACTTCGAGAATAGTGGTTTTTAAGACCCTAAAATGTTTCGTTCCGAAAGCTCCCAAACGTCACACCTGAAGCCATTCAACAAAGCATTTCACACTGTAGCCGGATACACACCTCCCTTGAGATTCAGCGATATCCCGCTTTGTTGCCCGGATGCTTCAGTTTCGCAGACGTGATTCGAGCCTTAGTGACTCGTTCATTAGCCTCATCCGTCACACTATAGTCGGAGCCAATATAACTCCCAAAATATGCAAATGTACCACAACGTCGAGTGCTTCTCCGTACACTGCAAGCGAGGTGTTCGATGCGTAAATGTCCAGAAGCATGACCCTATATTATATGTGTGCAAACCACATGACCTAATCAGTTCATCCGTGAACATTTATACATTCTTTTACTCTTTGAAGACGGGAACACAATAATGTTTATATTATTAGACGACAAGGCTTTCGCCAGTTATAATTTGAACAGTGGGGTTTAGAAGACCTCGCATCATCTTGTCGACCGTTATCTCAAATGTCCACCACACCGATTCGGTTGACTTCGGGATGCCTACTCATCCAATTTCTGTTCAACTTTTTGACGTCATAATAATGTGATCAGTTCACAGTTGCAGATTCTTAAACGTTTACTCCCCCGAGGTTGGCGCTCACTTATATCGATAACTTTTATTCTCTAGGATTTTCCCTTCTCACTTCTGAATAGATATGATTTTTCCGAAATAAAGATAACTCTTTGTGAATACACTTCACACTCTCCGGTAATAATTTATGCAGCGAGCCTACATCGGGAATGTTCTGACCTTTACTGGCGCTCATGCAGCCAATCTCCTCAATGAAGGTCTACTTTCCACCCTGTGTTTACACATCAATTATAGCAGCTACCGCCTCCAATGCGCAGCTATCTAGCCCCACCTCCCCCAATCATCAGTGAATGAAACCGTGGCGGCTGTAAACAGTGTACGGCAAGTACGCGTTTGTTACGGTTGATGATGATGACGCAGTTAGCATAACGCCACGTTGTAGGAATAATCAGTGCATGTTCTACGTGCGATATCTCCTGATTTCGTCGAATATAAATTTTCATATGGTTTCTTACGATAGAAAATCACAAAGTGAATTTTGGATGGTGAGAACGTTGAGCTGAAACCTGGGATCAATACGCATAAACTTCGTTAGCTGATTCGTTACCTTCACTGTGGCAGGTTAATTATTGTTACACTGTGGCTAATACCGGAGCTCCACTTGGCGATTGGTGTGTTTTACGCGGCTTTCGATTCAGTAGAACGTAGTGCGTTGTGGAACCTAATGCTGAACGATGGACCGCCATCCGGTTTGGTAGAATTATGAGATCGTACTATTCCGCAACTACAGTTTGATTCTACGCACCGAAAACGACAGGGATTCCTTTTGTGTCCAGAAGCATGACCCTATATTATATGTGTGCAAACCACATGACCTAATCAGTTCATCCGTGAACATTTATACATTCTTTTACTCTTTGAAGACGGGAACACAATAATGTTTATATTATTAGACGACAAGGCTTTCGCCAGTTATAATTTGAACAGCGGGGTTTAGAAGACCTCGCATCATCTTGTCGACCGTTATCTCAAATGTCCACCACACCGATTCGGTTGACTTCGGGATGTCTACTCATCCAATTTCTGTTCAACTTTTTGACGTCATAATAATGTGATCAGTTCACAGTTGCAGATTCTTAAACGTTTACTCCCCCGAGGTTGGCGCTCACTTATATCGATAACTTTTATTCTCTAGGATTTTCCCTTCTCACTTCTGAATAGATATGATTTTTCCGAAATAAAGATAACTCTTTGTGAATACACTTCACACTCTCCGGTAATAATTTATGCAGCGAGCCTACATCGGGAATGTTCTGACCTTTACTGGCGCTCATGCAGCCAATCTCCTCAATGAAGGTCTACTTTCCACCCTGTGTTTACACATCAATTATAGCAGCTACCGCCTCCAATGCGCAGCTATCTAGCCCCACCTCCCCGAATCATCAGTGAATGAAACCGTGGCGGCTGTAAGCAGTGTACGGCAAGTACGCGTTTGTTACGGTTGATGATGATGACGCAGTTAGCATAACGCCACGTTGTAGGAATAATCAGTGCATGTTCTACGTGCGATATCTCCTGATTTCGTCGAATATAAATTTTCATATGGTTTCTTACGATAGAAAATCACAAAGTGAATTTTGGATGGTGAGAACGTTGAGCTGAAACCTGGGATCAATACGCATAAACTTCGTTAGCTGATTCGTTACCTTCACTGTGGCAGGTTAATTATTGTTACACTGTGGCTAATACCGGTGCTCCACTTGGCGGTTGGTGTGTTTTACGCGGCTTTCGATTCAGTAGAACGTAGTGCGTTGTGGAACCTAATGCTGAACGATGGACCGCCATCCGGTTTGGTAGAATTATGAGATCGTACTATTCCGCAACTACAGTTTGATTCTACGCACCGAAAACGACAGGGATTCCTTTTGTCATCCTCCACTTTAAGCAACGCCATCGACCAAATAATCGAGCAAACCTGTAGGAATTACTGTGGAATCAAGTTAAATTTACGAGTGTCTCATGCAAACTGCGCCTAGGCTATGGCCTTGACGTATGGTCGGCGAGACCAATCATCTTGCTGCCATGCTTAAAAAGATAATCATTTAGTTGTAATAGCCCTTCGGTGCCTATCTGCTACACCACCAAAATCGAGCACGGGAGCTGGGCTACTATCAGCTTCCCAAGACAAGAGAAGCCGACATGCAGAGGTTGGGCTCAAACCACAGACCTCTTCCGTTCAGTAAACTTGCGCTCTAACTACAGAGCCATCTCGCTCCCTTGCTTCGATGGTCGGTCTGGAATTGGTCGCTACCAGCCTGCGAAAATGGCAGATGAACATCACTAGTAACGTGGGGGTATTATCCAAACGGTCTTCACCCTCATACCCGCAGGATCCCTCATTATTCCTAACTGTTTGGTCAGAATCAAGGTGGAAATTTGGGTTAGTGGCACCATGAAACCTTTCCTCTAACTAAAGATTGCTTTGTAGAGGGGAACGAAAACTGTTCTTCGAACCGAGGTCATAGTTCACGGAGCTGCTATTCTTTCCGTCCGACTTCGCGGATGCACTAGTTTTGAGGGTCACCTCAAAGCCCGAAGGCACCATCTACTTTCTAACCACCCTGTTTTGGAACATTGCAATCCCTCGCGCACCTTCAACACGGTCCGAACACGTTCTTCGCAAACCGAAAATCGAACCGCTATTCCCTGTATGAGTTGGTCTACCGGTGTTATCATCACTTAAATCACAGTTTGCTGCTACCACATCGGGTTTCGGTCGTTCTGGGATTCAAACGGCTTACTTTGCTTTTTTTCACTGAAAACATATTAGAGCCGCAATTTTCGCCAACCTTGCCACAGATCCTCATGCTTAAGACCTGTAATCCGAGACGTGCATCAAGCCTGCTCAACTGTATCACTGACTGACCAACCCTCTCTACTGGTATCACCTATGTTAACACTATGGAAAATGGAATGACCGATCTCCCATCTTCATACGTTCAAGATCGCTCCATTTGGGAGGTTAACCATCTTGATTATGGTCTGCATATTTTCGAATATTCAGCCAATCTGTGTTGAAGCTACCAGCAAGGACATGATCGGGATCCATTTGCAGTTATGTCTCCTGTCTACGCTTGGGCAACCTCGCAGTATGCCAGTCCTCGTGCTTCGTTCGGGTTGCATGGCAGCTAGACACGAGAAAAAATGTTACGGTTGAACGATGTCTTGCACTGTGCATATCACCAATGCTCCTTAGGTTACCACAACGGCGCTCAAACTCCTCTTTATCATTCTCCTAGCCGTTGGTCGTCACTTGTGTCACTTTCCCGTAAGCATCCAAAGTATGTGAGATTGCTCATCACACCATTTTACCTGAAAGTTCGCTTAGCTGGATCATTATCATCAGAGCCAGCAACATTAGTCTCGCTACTGCCGTATTCAAAGAGAAAGTAGGAAAGACTGAATGGGGAAGGGGCCCGCTGCCAACCTACCGCAATAATTCTACGGTGTTTGCAGTTTCATACGCTTAATCAGGCAATTGGAAAAATGATTAGATGGTTGTTAGTATAGCACATGAAACGTTAGGTCGTATTTTTCTGTTATTTTTTTTACCTCTGATGGTTTTGCGACTGGTATCCCCATTACCCCAAACTTGGTCTTCTGAACTTGGTATTCGTTTTCATTCCAGCTTTCACTCTGGAGCATGCAATGCTACGAGAGAATCCCGCATGTAAATGTAATCGACCACACAAGCTCACTCATCTACTTGCAGAAGCATCACCGACGGAAATTTCTGTTTTCTGTACAACAACCGCCACGGCGTCCGTGACCTCTGGCACTACTACAGACGACACGGGTATCGAGTCTGCGGCTAGTCTCGGAGCTTCACCGACATTGCCATGCAGTTCCAAATTGATCCAGCATGCTGATATTAAGCGGCCGCCTTGGAATTCGGAGCAGCCCCCACCCATCCCTCCAAAGGCCAATAGGCGTGTTTTGAATAGGCGCATTTCTCCGGACCGTTCGTCGATTTGCTCACGGTTTTGTGAGGGACCTCGTTTTCTTTCCTCTCCACGTCAGTTTTCCCCCACTGCGGCCGCTACCAACAGCCCACCCGCAACCCAACTCCACCCCAATCGGCGGGATGATTGTCCAACCATCGTAAATGTCCAACCCAAAAGTGTCTCTGCACAAAATTATTCTGTCCCGCCGAATACTGCCAGTCGGTCGCTGCGCCTCAATAGACGATGTCTTCACTCTACTAGTGAGGGTTCGCAGCCGTCCGGGATTGCCCCTTTCAGAAGTTCCGATGAGTGTGTACACAATACCAACCATCCGAACTCTAGGCGCGTCGATTCTTCTGGCTACTCCGTTGCAGTAGGTGACCTAAGGCACTTTACACCGAGTTCCCATCCAACGTCTTACGCGCATTTGCCAGTCACAGATGGTCTCGCAGAATCTGGGACCATGCGCCCTCCGTGTGTGTGTCAGTTAAACCGGCATGTCCACACAAAAGCCCTCCCACCGATACCCACGCATGACCGACATCGAACTATCCGATCTCTGACTACCTCTTCTTCAGATCCACGACGCGACCAGTGGGTCGATCCTTGTAGTGGGTACGGCCCCACCACAAACCGGTATGGCGACGGAACCCAAAACCTTGCTTCCAAATTGGGCTGCGGTGGTCTTCTGTGGATTTCCTCCAGTTTCGTCCGTCTCTTTCGTTATTCCACCAGCCGAGGAAAACTGCTGGAGATCAAACGCAAACGACTATTTTCGAGATCCTCCGCGCAACGTAACACTACAACTGAGGCTACTACATCTTCCCCTGGTGACCGATGGCAAAGTGTACCACTTGCACGCGAGGGAGAGCGGGAAGTTGTCAGCGCCAACACACTTTCGGAACATTTGAACAAGCTGATTTCGACCAACACGGTGGCTTGTGGGGCTGCAATATGGGACAGACAATCTCGAACCCCCTGTCCGATCGAACTTCTGGATAACGTGAACACATCGTCTCATTCATCTCCCATATCAACCAATGCTACAGCTGTGCATTCCCCTCCTTCCAATAAACACCTGCTCCCCTCGCCTACACCTATTTCCATAGATCCTGACATCTTCAGTGCACTGGCCCAATGTCCTTGTTGTTCGTCAAAATACGATCAGTCCAAACTGACCTCGGTACATTCGGTGTCGCAAAGTGGTCGAACCCATCCTTTACCCCCTTCTCGAACGACGGATACTCCCTCACGACATAGCCTCAGCCTTATTCGACCTCACTGTTGCGCGTGTCCATCGGATCCGCCCAAACCCTGTTCTTGTGTTCAGTCACTGCAGTTCATTCCTAATAACGCGTCCCAAGTAAGTCACTTGTCACTCGCTGGCGCTGCATTTCGCAGCATAATTTGTTGAATCATTTTCTATCAGAAACAGTACTCCCTTTCACACAAACTTGCCGTCGTAAGAATTGTGACCAGCGTGATACAGACCAAATCGTACAGGGGCTAGTACTCTAGCTAGCTAGTTGTGTGGGTCACCAGATACTCGTATCCACACACTATGGGGTTCAATAGTTCCGTTGTACCCAACTGAATTGAGGAGTACGGATCACCATTTGGGTTTCCTCATGGCTTTAGAACTACCCGCAGTCATCCACCATCCCGGTTTTAACCGGATACAGGGCGTTCAGGCGGATGTACATGCGGATCAGTAGTGGATCCCATTTTCGCGAGAGTCCATCGCCGTAGTTCGATGTGATAGTTCAATCCACGAAAGCATATCAGCCCATCATTACTGCTCTAACAGTTGACCACACTTTTCTTAGCCTGTATTGGCAGAGCATTTTCGTGACTCTAGCTGGCAAATCTTCGTAAACTCGCCTCCACGGAGTGGCAATCATCGTCCAAATTTTACCGGCATACTCAAATAAGGGCAGTTTCATCTAGTACTTGATAAAGTGAGCAAGAATACAATCCGACAACACCAATTTCACCGGATTCGGAACCGAGAAACGGTTTATAATTTACCATTCCACCTTTTTCACGTTAGCTTGTCCTACTGCAACCTAACCAGATTGAGCAACTGAGGTTCTCATATTCATCTCACTTTCTAAACAGTCCACTCGAGTCAGGCTAGAGATGTAGGCGCCGGTTAACTACTGGGTTCCTTCTTATTTGGGCTTGGGTATCCCGGGCGAATCTCCACTCTAATATCTGTTTCGAAATGCTGTATGGCAAATGACGTACCGCAGCCTAGTGAAACTTCATATTTCGAAGTTTTCTTCTCTGTGAGGATGAATGTTCACCGAGGCGCCCGTAAAGCTTGTCAGTATTCTGTCTATCGACATCCTGTTAGCTGGTTAGCGGTCCCCTTCTCACCCAACTCGTCGTTTCTGGTCCTCAGTTTGTGAATTTCGGATCGATTCATAGGTATCCTTGAAGTATGAAATTCCACACTGGGAACATAACCATGTTTCTTCGATTTCCCAGGCTCACCCGTCAGATAGTCACCCAACATCGGCGTCACAATTCCATAGTAGACGCTGCGTCACGCCGTCGAATCAGCGTCTTTCTGGAATCGATCCCTCGTTATCGGACCGGCCGCATCGCAAAGAAAACCGACTCCGTCGTCCTTTAACTGACCATCGCCACTCCAAGACCACGCATAGGAGAACTTCGGAACGTCTGTCCTCCTCTTCCTTGACTAGTTCCGATGCTGATCAACCAGACGAACTTCCTGGGGTCGGGGTGCCATCCAGCAGCTCCAAGGTCCCTGCCACCTCTGATCACCTCCACTGCATCGGATCTTCCCTTCCAACTGGTTTGGCTAACTCAGAGCTTACATCAGGTACTGAAACCGTCCAACCATGCCCTTCGTGTATATTTGCCGACCCTAGTTTACCACGACGTTCTCCAGGCCGTTCTTCCCTCCGAACGTCAGGACCAGTTGATGGGACCGTGATGATTCCAACTGCTTTCGATTTCGAACCCTCCCAACAGCAGAAAACCGTGTGTTTCGTGGACCCACAACACCAAGTACATCATCACGTGCACCATATCCACCATGTGCATCACGTCCACCATCATCACCATCACCTCCAGCAACAGCAACTTGATCGACCCAGCGAATCAGCCACTCTACAGCATGCTGGCAGCCCTCAGACACAATACTGTGATCGCTGCATCCTTGACGGTACACCGGTCTCGTGTTGCTCACTCGAAGCGGGAGTGTGGCGCACTTCAACCGCTTCATCCTGCCTGACCACACGTCTAACAACGGTATGTCCTCTCGACTAACCAGTAAATCATGTGATGATGCGATTGCTAGGTGTTCATCATTGTTCACACCACCTAAGATTATCAATCGCAATCTCAACTCAGGGCTAACCAGTATCGCACAAGTGTTAGTGTGTTCAGATACAACGGTCATTGGCCTACAAACATCGCAGTATGTGCCACGAATGGTCCGTTCTGAATCTAATCCTGCTGAAATTAGTGAAATGTTGAAAAAAAACAGTACTTCTCATGGTTCCGGGGGAAAGCAATTTATGGATGAACTAATCACAGTTCATAACTTATGCGCGTGCTAGGCCACTTGGTTTGCATGCGGGAAGGTCCCCCCTTCGCAAATTACGTTTGGATTGGCCTTTTTATGGATTAAATCCACTTAAAGGGTCTGAAAATCAGATCTTGTCATGGCGAACGAACTTAGTCGCGTTTGTCATCCTCGCGGACGAGCATACCACTGAACAGAAAGCGCCGCTGATACGTCATCAGCGCTTCTGCATCAGGGGTATCACATTTAGCGCGTAGCTTCCTGCAGCCTCATTTAAAGTACTTTCGTCATCCCTGTCTGCGCTAAGATGCTGACCCCGACCCATCCTGCTTACTGTAGTGTCATAGGTTTACGGAAATCGTCCATGGGGCGTTCATGGTCATTCGACACGTTCTGTTTTGTTTTTGCGGGGGCTGAGGACACCGTCAACAAGATAGATCGACCGATCAGTGAACTGACCACCGACCACGGTTAGTCCTTAGGTTGTATTGAAAACTTGCCATTTTACGTGGTGTTTCGGGTCAACATTCCCATCTTGGGTCCGACAAACATATACGTTTCTGTTGACTATTTTTCTATCCACCCTTAATGTTTGCGCCCGATTAGATTCAGATGCCCTCTCTAAAAAAAATCTCAAGATTGCCCATCCTGATAAAAATACGGTATTTTGCGAGCCGATCTTGGCTTATTGTCCACTAAGGCCTCTACTTCTTCCCGCACAACCGAAGAAAGTCAACTTGAGCATGGGATGTGTGTAAGACGTAGCCCGGTGGTTACGTCTGCTTCTGCACGTTTACGCGAAGGCTGTCTGTCTACTGACGAATCACAACATACATCAGCAGATGGATTTCAGTCTGCACTCTAAGACCCTCATATTCGATATTGAGCCCACATTCCACTTAGTGAAATCCACAGCCGACACCTACATAACATAATTGGCACTATGTTACTGTACAACCGCCATTTACGAATGGACATATTGCCGTACGCAGAATCAGTTTCACCTGGAAGTCTTCCAGAGAGACAACTTGCTCCGTTGTTCTGATTACTTCACATTTCTCTGCCCCACCGACTCCGACTTTCTCCTTTTGGTTGCGAATATGATGTTGACCCTTGATATACTGTCAACATCAACCATTTAGTTCCGTTTTTCGATGGCTCATGTACTGCCGGTTTTGTTTCTTTGACAAGACTTAGAGTTCAAACGATCGTCGCCCTTTCACCTAGCCAAATACTCTGCTGTTCTTGACACAGGATGATGCAGGTACGCCTGTGGTGCCTGTTTGGCAACATACTGTATGGTGAAATTGTCTGTCCGATCGATCGTATGCCATACGTCTACATATCTAGACAAAAACCACTTCGAATGGTCCAACTAATCGGTTTTTAATTTTATATGCTGGTGGTGATGTGCACGTTTCCTTCTCGCCAGAATACCAGAACAACGTAGGTAGGTAGGTCACACAGTCGCAGTTCCAAAAAATATAACGTTATAACTGTGGAATATTCGACGTATTACGGGAAGCCCAATTAAGTGACGCGCGAACTCACAACCAAAAATTGCCAAGTCTTGAGATTTGTCAATAGAATGCGGCACTACATGTACAAAATACCTATTTGAAGGGGATACAAACCTCAAATTATGGGGTTGTTGCACATATTGGCACAAGTCGGAAAAAAAGCCCGGAGAAAACAATGAATCGATCTGAATTGACGACAAACGTGCGCGCACAGCACGTGGTAACGTAAGTGGTCAAAAAAATGCGCGTAAAAAGTTCGTAAAAATTGGTTCGGCGTGTCAACGGTCAAAAGTTCTAGAGAGATTGTTGGTGAAGATCGTATACATGAGCTAGACGCGGGAGACTGTGTTCAAGTAAGGGCATAGTCTGTTCGAGAGGTACAATAACGAAACACCAATTTGAAAATACCATAAGTTCATTACTATATCATATATATGGATACCTACATGCCGTGTATGCGTTGCGAATAGACCTAAGCTTCAGACTATTCTTTAGAGGTAGGATTGTAAGCTTCGACTACTGTGATGTTAAATTTCAAACCCTTTTGAGCTAGTGAAAATATACCGTTCAACATATAGTGCTTATTTGCCCATTTACTTCATTATCAATGGACGCTTTTCCGGAATATTTAAAATTGTCTTATCATTGTAGTAACCAATGAAAAGAGTTCGTGTCAACTCATAGTTTGTCTATCAGATGGTAAAAATACCAAACGGTCAAAAGTTCTAGAGAGATTGTTGGTGAAGATCGTATACATGAGCTAGACGCGGGAGACTGTGTTCAAGTAAGGGCATAGTCTGTTCGAGAGGTACAATAACGAAACACCAATTTGAAAATACCATAAGTTCATTACTATATCATATATATGGATACCTACATGCCGTGTATGCGTTGCGAATAGACCTAAGCTTCAGACTATTCTTTAGAGGTAGGATTGTAAGCTTCGACTACTGTGATGTTAAATTTCAAACCCTTTTGAGCTAGTGAAAATATACCGTTCAACATATAGTGCTTATTTGCCCATTTACTTCATTATCAATGGACGCTTTTCCGGAATATTTAAAATTGTCTTATCATTGTAGTAACCAATGAAAAGAGTTCGTGTCAACTCATAGTTTGTCTATCAGATGGTAAAAATACCAGCCTGTGTTTGTTAGGGGGTGGGGGGGGGTTGGAACGGTTTTCGATCTAAACGCACCACGCGACGGGTACAAGATTTACTCGGTTAGAGAGTACACAACGCGAATTGGATTCACCGTACTAGTCTTTTCTCTATCCTGGGTCGAAATTTCCCCGAAAACTTAGAAAAAGTATGATTTCCTTTGGAGGTTTCCGATACGGAACTTTGAGAAAAGGATAGGCTCGACAATCCCAAACTGGACGGTCTTTGCGGCAAGTTGAGTACAGAAGAGCCAAGCACGTGGATCAAAAAGTACATGAACGGAGCAAGCAAATAAACGAGAGAATTGTCATGAGGTAAAGTTAGATTCTATAGTTCCTCCACAGAAACTGCTAACCAGCTTAGTCCATCAACATTCTGCCTACGGATTTAACTATCCATTCTGGAGTAAATCACACTGTTTCATTCCATAACGGTCAACTTCATACTATAGCAGTGGTTGAAGTCCTTCTTTGATTGTTCTCTTGCATATGGAGTGTTCTTCACTCACATCATCGAGTTTCTCCATTTTTTTTCAGCATCAGGCCAGCAGTCAGTTATGCTCACTCAGAGAATCCCCGTCTTGCCTGACGTCAAGTCAATTTCCGCTGGATTCGACGGACTCTTCTCGAGCGATTTGCTCTCCCGTTGCTGTTTGTTCAGGTAACTGAACCTACTGTATTTTTATCTTATTGTTTCATCATTACTTTCCAAGATCGCAGCGCCATATTGTTTGATCGCACTCTGCTATGGTGATTGTGTTTTAGCTTTGGATGGCTCTGTTGATATTTCGGAGCGCCGTAGTCCGCGTTTGACGGTTGGATGCTAGGTCGACACAGATGCTTAGGGCTAATCTACCCTTAAACACATTTGTCCAAATGTTGAATTGTACGCCGGGCCACAACAAACTCGTTCGCATGGGAACCGCGAATCATTCTGGCTGATTTCTCTAGAACAGTATCGGTGAACTCCGGCTGTCGTGGGAACGCCTATAGACGTCTGTAGGTCGTCCGTGGGAACGCCTATAGACGTCTTGTAGGTCGTCTTTCCGCTCTACTCTACAGTTGGAAGCCCCCATCTTATGTGAACTTACTTTTGCGCCTACAAGTTGGTGAATCCGCGTTTGAAGACCAATTTCAAGCGTTCTTTTCGATCCTACACTTCGATTCACATGATTCTGAAGGCCTCTCTTAATCCACGAGAAATCGTCTTCCATTTTTTAATCTGGCAGTCACTCCAGCGTATTCCTTCAAACGAAATGGACGCACCGTTTTGACATTATTGAAAACAGAACCTCGGGTTCTACACCCTCCGTCCAGCACGTGTACCGTTAGAGTTATGCGGACTATTACTCTGTCGGGTTGGGCTGTCCCTCATGGACAATCGAGATGTTCTCTCTGACCCCAGATACAGGATATTCGTGGTAACACGTTGGCTGTGTCATCTGAGCTCAGTTCGTGGATTTCTGCACGCTGAACAACAGTATCTTCTAGTCCAACTGACTAGGCGGTGCTCGCTTTCACAAGTATGCATCACAAGTCGCTTGTCAAATTATTCGCTCCCCCGTCCTTGCCCGTTACTTACTTAGTTTCATTTGGAACGCCCACAGTTAGGTTATACACGGCATATATCCACTCTTTTCAACAGTCATGAATGTTGAGCACCTTGATACCTATTCCCGAACTTTCATCGGCAGGTCGAAGTTCAATTTTTGACCTTTGCTGATTTAGTTGATGTCACGCCCTTGCCTCAAGATATAGGTTTTCGTCTATTGCAGCAACTTGAACTTGCTGAACTCATTCGGTTTCACGTGACTTGGGGGCCGATTTCGCTTGTTTTTTTTTAATACCAGCTATTCAGAGACTTATGTGCAGGCAATGCGAAGGTTCAGTGTCTTTTGGTGAACAGTAGGTGAACAACAGCGGAACGGTTACCACAAGTTCATAGGGTCACCCTACTTCCACTGAACCCAAAGGAACGCAATTCTTGATCAGTCGGTGATTGCACTAGAAGAGGAACTCACTTTGCCCAGCTCTGTTGAAATACGCACAAAATGCGGCGTTTTGACGTTCCAAAGCCATGCAACTGGCGTATGTTATCGTCCCATCTAGAGAGGTTTCACCGACACTTTCTGGCTACTTTCGTCTCAAAAGCCATACTGATGATAGACGTTCGATAAAAACTATTCCCACCGTGGAGTTCACCAACATCTGCGAATTTTATATCCATGTATCTACTAGTAATAAATTATTTCATTGTCAATGATGACTGTAGGTAATAAGTGACTCGCTCGATCGGAGGTAGTAGTAGAGGTATTCCTTCACTTCAGGTATTCCGCTATTTCTAAGACTGTGCTGGTTGCCTGAGCTTGCTTGGTGGGCGTGCTGATGCCAGACTTTGATACTTTTTAGGTTTGAAACTACCTTAGTTGAAATTAAGCTTGCATAACGAGCAGACTAGCAGGACTGAATGGGGTGGCGAGACAGCATATTTATTGACTGAAAGGTCCGTGGTGTGAACCCGACTTCTGCCTTGTCTGGGCTTGGGCAACCTGGCAGTATCCCAGTCTCGTGCTTCCTTCGGGTGACATGGCAGCTAGGAACCGAAAGGGTGTTAAAGCTGTCTAGGATGTGATCGGATACATAAACAACTATTGCTGCTACCGTTTGCCACGAGGAATATTTCCCACAAGCATTACTCATAAACTGATAGGCTTGTTTACACGAAGTTACTAGACCCGCAGCTTTTATCTCAACCCGAATGAGAATCGATGGTTAACGCCAGTACACAAGTGCACAGTTTTATGACTCCCAAATTCAGATGGCTTTGGTTCTGAAGCCGGACTGAAGAGACCGCGAACATAGCAGCATCCAGACGCTTCGTGACCATATAATGAGACAATTTAAAGCAATTATCAAGCAATGTGATCAGAATGCATCGGTTGTGCTGTTCTCGATAGGTTGATAACTTTGGCATCTCGGGTCGATTTTAAAATTCTAATTGTTTTTGCTTTAATTTTTATCTACAAGCTGTCCGACAATCATCCAATTCCACCTATTAGTAGTGAATTATTGGTTTAAACTATGACTAGTTGATGGATTTGTGATAGTATCCCTGTCACATTGAAGTGTTTCATTCGGTTTGCTTGCGTGATGAAGTAATCGGTAACTTTGCCCACTTTTTAACCGTCAAAGATGCTCCTCCTAACTCTCGTGCTCAACCATAGAGTAGATACTAGACCATCAGCTTACTGAGTTCCAGAAAGCTCAGTGGTTGATGCCTGTTGTTCGAACTCCACCTCTGCGTCTCGACTGCTCCTGTCTAGACTTGGGCAACCCGGCAGTACCTCGTGCTTCGTTTGGTTGCATTGCAGCTAGGTTTCGAAAGGGTATTACAGCTGCGCGATTATTATTGTTATTGTTAGATACTACCGTAGCTCAGCCTATGATAATAATAATCGTTCGGTGCCTAGCTGCAATGCCACCCGAAGGAGGCACGACGGCTGGGATACTATTGGGTTGCCCGAGCCTAGACAGGAGGAGTCAAGATACACAATTCGGGTTCGAACCATAGACCTCCCGGTCAGTAAGTTCGAGCTTTAACCACTGAGACATCTCGGCCATATTCAGCCTTTCGACTTTCGATTCAACTGTTTACCAAGCTCAACAATTCTAGACAGCCTGGCTAGCTCCCACACGTAAACTGCAATCTCTGGCTTTCATCTATTCGGACTATTACGTTTCTACATTTGCAGATGTTGCCGCCTCAACTGCTGGTAGGTCAGTAGACCAGGTTGGACGCACAGCAAGCCTCACTGACAGCACCCGGTCGCGCAGCACCCCAAGCACGATTCGAACCAACGGGACGTGTGCTACACAGGCCTACCCACCAGTCAGTCATTCAACGGCCGCCTCTGCCTTGCCTTCACCGACCTCGTCTGTGCGCCGTTCTCCTCGAACAGCTTCCTCTCCGCCATCTACACCCGTTACAGCTTCCTCCGCCGCAGTGGATGTTCAGGCGGGTCGATTGTCGTTTCAAAGAAGCATGTTAGAACTCCGAAAGGTACGTCTGCTTTGAGATCAAATCTGTTGCCTCTGAAGCACGCAGCGCGCTGTCTTGTCACGAACCAATAGTTTTTTTGACGTCATACGTAATCCTTGAAGATTCTAACTATTCAGGTAAAAAGCCAGCTGAAAGAACATACCTACGTCTCCTACTGCGTGCCTCCCAACCTGTTTGCAAAGGTCCTCACTACAACAAACTGACGAAAATTGCTTGTGGTACAACGTACAACATACATTAGTGGAGTGCCAAATACCTCGCAAAATAATGGATACAGAAATCAAGAGTGTGCCGATGGACGAAACGGCCCCCAAGTGCAGGTGTGGTCAGGTCAGATTTTGAGCATATCTCAACCGTATCAGCCGCACTTCGGCTCTTGTCTGACAACGAAACGAAGTGACTGAAAGGCACTCAAAGGCTGTTCTCCTGCAGCAACTGCCGCCCTGACACGACCATCTAGCTGTGTACGATGCTCGTGAATGTTAGGTTAATGATTTCTTCTTAGTGCAACCGACATTGCTTGATTCCTTCAAGGTTTCCTCTTCCCCTTTCCCCTATCCTCTGTTTCACTTTTTACAAGTAACATTCTATGTGTCTACCCTTTAACCAATCTTATGGGGTGATTTATGCAAGACACTTTGGGAGCATGGAGAAAGCTCCCGTTACGGCGAAGTTTCTTTTCGCTCTCAGAAAGTTCCTTCTAACGAGCACGTTTTAGTAGCTGCATAGACACTTTTCTTGGCCTTCAATTCGTCCACCTGAAAAAGCACATCAGTGTGCTCTGTTCAAAACGCTCCTCATTTTCGTTATTCTTCGATAGCCGCATATCTACGCACTTTGCAGGAGGATCGGAAACTGAGTTTTTTCGTCATCCACTTTCACTCAGTCTCAGTTTGTTGGCTTGGTGTGTATTCTTCTACCTTGGCTGTTGCCTTCTCTCATGTGGACGTGGAGCTCTCTGATTCACAAATCAAATTGTGGATTCTTCTACCTTGGCTGTTGCCTTCTCTCTCTCTGATTCACAAATCAAATTGTGATGCTCCGCTTTCTTCTCTGAACCGAACAAGCGCGCCTAACACAAACACAAATCGTTTGAGTTGTTTTATGTGCTGCCCACATACTCTGTTGTTGGCATTCAGTGTTTTTTTGTCACCGCTGTTGATCCGAGGCTAGCTAATTTGCCTCCACCACCGGTCCAAAACATCTTATCCTCAAGTTTTCCTTTGGTCAATCCTGTGAAACAGGAGGAAAGTTGGCATCCAAAACTTCCTGCAACTATCTGCGTTCAAATGTTGAGTCTTGTGTGTACATCTAGGACCGATCCTCTGCGCATGAATGGAGCGATATTTACCTATTTTCGAAGCTCTACTGCGTCTCTCATGAGCCCTTTGACGCACTTTCTATTTCCACTCGGGGTAATGCGCTACCTATTGATGGGTGATCCCAAGTTAGCTGCAATAGTCCTTCCCTGACGAAAGTGATTCGTATCACATCTTGAGTGTATAGTGTATTTGTTGTCAAGCTGTGCCGAGTCATAATCAGCCAGTAATGGTGTGCTGAATTCGCACAGTCGTGAAGCTGAATTTGGACTGGCAAAACCTGAAAGCAAACGGCAAAGACTTGATAAAAGCGACTATGATTGGCGAAAGCGAGGGTATCGAAACCCGAATTGAACCGAAATACGTTTGAAAGCGAAGGTATCCGCTCTATCCGTCGTCTTCTCCAACCTCTCCCTACCTCGTTATTAGGAGGTCGGTAGTCGCTGAAGTTCATATTGTATTTTGGTGTGGTGTCGAAACACGGGCCAAGGATCAGATGCTTCTCCGTGTCGTTGAGCTTCAATGTTGTAGAACCGTAGCTGGTGCTATCAATAAATTCCCAACGAAGGGATTAGACGTTGTATGTTTGGTTTCAAAAAGATCTAAATGAGTACGGAAGGGCATACACTTCGGGGTACTTGTGGTTAGCGGGCAACTCATCTCTTTTCTCTTTTTGGCACTTTAGAGTAAGTTGTCCTTATTAGTCCGGCAAGAAGGAACTAGCGTCAACGCAGATGTTGCCGTCTGTCGCCACCGTCCTCCTCGAATATGTTTCTCCATACCCCTGAAATGTTGCCGCCACTTCCACATCTTTGACCATCCTGTTTTTAGACTTCTCGAATTCCAATGCGTTGCCTAGTTTGAGTTTCTTTCGCTACTGCCCTACGTTCAGCTGCAACATCCTTTCGCTGCCATGCCACCCGAAGGAAGCACGAGGGCTGGGAGACTGTCAGGTTCCCCAACCTAGATAGAGGGAGATGTTGGGTTCGAATCACGGATCTTATGATCAGTGAATTCGCTCTCTAACCACTGAGCCATCTCGCTCACTTGCGCAACAATCACCATTTATCACTCACACCCACAGCTACTACCTCGAACGATTGCGTTCTCACTCTGTAATACACTATGCTGAATCAGTTACTACTCAAGGTGAAAGCTCAGCCGATGTCTATCTCATGGGTATTCCTTCAATATAGTCGAAAGAAACTTGAACAATGCAGTACAATTTGGGAGTTAAGCTGGAGATTTCTAGAGACTTCGCCATCTTTCGTCCCAATTTACGTGATACGTTATCGAGAAATGTATTAATCAGTTGGAACGTGCTAATGCGTATGCGTGAGTACGTGACGTTACTAGGCGCTGACCATAAGTAGGCTGGCTACCTTTGTACAGAAATGTACCGTCCGCCTCCGTAGGTCCCATGAGAGGAGTGTTCCCAAAGCGCAGTCTTAGTGAGCGCAGTTCAATATTTCTCGATTGACTGACGAGTACTGCTGTGGCCCACTTGCCCCACCCTGACATTCCTATTTTCTTTCAAACACTGTATATTTTCGCTGCCGACATTGTTCTTATTTTGAGAATATCTGAGTCTCCTACGAAAGTACGCACAAATTGTGGCTGGCTGAATCTTCGTACCATTTTGAAGAACCCCAGTGCACTGCATCCGGCTTATGGGATTTTTATGGTGCGGGTTCCAGACACGCTTCTTGAGATTACTGGCACCTCGTTGCGGTTTAGAAGAATGGGTTTTGGGGAATTGCCGTGGTCTTTTACGCAGTATATTGCAGAGTTAGACGAGATTAAGGTGATCATATCTGTAGCTGTCGGTACTGAATACCCTGGTCGATCACCGTATCGCTCTTTCCAATATCGACTGTCCATTTTGAACACCCGCTTGGTCATACTGCTCCAGGGTTCATGTGGGTGATCGATAATTGCTTGAGTACGTCAGTGTTGCGTACTCTTCGGTCAGTGATTCCACATATTGATCGGCTATTCTTTCTGCTTCGGAAGAGTGTTGAAATACCTAAACGAGTAGACAAGCGTGTGATCATGTGCGTTCCAACCTCATCAGTACTAGTTGGAGACTCTTAAGCCCTATACAACAGTTTTTTTCGAGTCGTAGTTGACACAATCTGACCTTCCGAGATCCGTTAACCCAGCTGTCATCAACGAATTCTGTATTCGGAACATAAACGTATTCCCAGAATCCGAGAGATAAAAGCCGTTAGAGTGCGAATTTACTGGACCGGAAGGTCCATTGTTCAAACCCGACTTCTGCTTTCGACTTACCCTGTCTAAGCTTGGGCAACCTGACAGTATCCCAGTCCTTGTGCTTCCCCCGGGTGGCATGGCAGTTAGGCACCAAAAGGGTGTTACAGCTGAACGAGTATCTCACCAAACCCTGAGCGTCCATGTCAGTGGATTCGAAACTACTGGGTCAATAGATGTCCACCAGATCCTCTGGACCACCAAGGTCGTTTTTGGCGGTTCGTTGCTGATAGCCTGGCCCATTTCGTTCAAGGTCTCCTTAAGACGACGTTCTGCGAGTGTTCTGTTGCCCGCCATATCCAGTGTTTTTAAGATGTTTGGTGAATAATTATGTCTTCGTGTGATCAATGCAGTCCAGTTGATTTGATTGTGTCGTTCTGCTTCGTGATTTTTTTCATTTTCCCTGAGCATGGGTCAACCAGTTCAAAAACGGCACTCGTATTCCTTACATATTTTCTCACCTTCGTAAGACGTTAAATCCTTCACACTTAGTGCTCACACACTTGCTTACTTACCTATATCCCTCGTTTCTATCACTTAGAACGTCTTGCGTACCATTCCTAAGTGTTCATGATATGATGTGAGTTCTGTCTGCCAAGGATCATACTATTCACAACGAGACGTACATACTACTACGATCTTTCCAGTCCACATTCCATCCTACGATACGAGATTTCATCGTCGTCAATCCCTTGAAAGGCAACACACGATTACGAATTCATCACGCATTCTTGGAATTTTACTCATAACTATCGATTGACTCACCTCTCATCATCGTTCTCATAGAGCGTGCGTACCTGTGTGTGTGTGTACATGCACGTTTATGTAGGTTTATCGCTATCTTACTTGATGCTCTCGCATTAACTTGTTCACCATTCTGTGGCCGCTTCTATCTCCACTTTTACGTCATCCCCCTCAGCATTGGTCTTTTGTGGTTGAATCCAGGTCTAAAGATCGATCAGCGTCTTGGCGAGGTTGTGTGCATGTGTGTGTACCATGTCACTCTCTCTCTCTCTCTCTCTATGACTTAGCTTCATTGTAAACAAAATAAGCTCTGATGTGTAGAAAGTGAAAAACTCCCGGTATTTACATTTGTGTGCGTTTGTAGAAAGTGAAAAACTCCCGGTATTTACATTGTGTGTGCGTTTGTGTGTGTATGTGGGTGTGTTGGAGGACTCTGTGCTGTGGTAACTCTGAAGGAGGGGTGTACATAGCACTGAACAGCGCAAACATCCAACAAGACCTGGATCATGATGACCTTCGTTGATCTACCTATCTATCTGTATCTATCGGCTTTAATGGATCCTCATATTCCTGTTTGTCGTCTTCGTCCCTATCCCAAATGGAAAGATTTTTGTCGACTGTTATTTGCATCTTGATATTGATGAACTTTCGAACTTTTCCCGAGCTGTGGTCGGGGACATGTGGCCCACAGATCAAACGAGCTAACGATGAATCTTGCGCGATATTCTCAAGGCTGGTATTTGCAACGCGGTGTTGGGTGGCCAAGATGCCTAATCGATTGCACTTGCACCGATTAGCCCTAGGGTTCATGATCAGATCTCACATAGGCGCCTTGAACTTATGCCCTTGTTTCTCCTGCGTAGTTTGTAAATTTGACTATTCAGAGAAACTCGCATGATTGTAGCACGTTGGCAGAAAGGAAAGTGTCTTTTGGCGATACCCCAACGCGAACTTCGTTGGTCCACATTGAACTATTAGCCGTGCTCACCGAAAAGTAAATGCATACGCGTGCTTCTCAGATACCACCAGACAATGGACACGTATCCATCGAATGGTTGTGCCACTCAGCAAAGCGCATTCGATTACTACTTCTGTCAATTCTGACCATACCATTCAATCGCCCTCCGCAGCCTAATACATTTGCACGATGTTCATATCTGTTTCAGCAGATGGACATCCCGTCTGTGTAAGTAGCTCTGGTTTGGTATGAACAACAGGAAGATACTGATACGACTTTCTGTGGGCAGCAAAAGTATCGTTGGAATTTTAATAGCGTACCGCCCAACAATCAACGCCATTCAGAATCCCTTTTTCTATCGAATTGGATTGTTTGTTGATGTCGTGGAACTTCAAGAAATCACACTCTGGTGGGCTTTTTGAAAAGTTTTTCTTCACTAGTTGCCTGAATAGTACAACCATACATGTTAGTCCTTCACAACTTGTCAATAGCTGGATTTTTTAGGGCTGCCCGGCAGCAGGACACAAGGCATGACTTATGGAGGTTCACATGCTTTGAGTTCCCTGTACGACGCCTCAGTGTTGTGTGCATGAATATGCATCATGCAATATGACCAGTTACGGCTAGATGCGAGCTCGAGATAGCTCAGCGATAAAGATGCGAACTTACTAACCGGAGAGTCTTTGGTTCGAACCCAACCTCTGCTTCGGTCTAGGCTTGGGTAACCTGGAAGTATCTCAACCCTCGTGGTAGCTGTGCACCAAAAGTACAGCCGAACGATTATTATTTATTGATACTACTAGGTGCAAGATTGTACGTGTTAATGAGTTTCGATCATCTTTGTCAATCTACCGACCAACCATATTTGGTTGAGCGTTGAATATGCTGATGTATGAACAGCAACCACAACAACAGCACAACCACCAACCCACCGCTACGCACTACTACGCTCCACGATAGCGCACTGATGATGTCACCTCGATTGGTGATGAAACGTTTGCAATCAAATTGCCCAGCTCAGCGAACAAGCCAACGACCACCATCTACGATACCACAGAAAACAAGCTTTGTTCGCTACCTTCTTCGTTCTCATGACTACAATGGGTATATTCAGCCGCCTAATACCTGAGCTACCAACATTTTCCTCTGTATGAACTATGTATGAACTATCGCCAGAGGGTCAAAGTTCAGCGCACACCACAATTTTGACCTTTGTCGCACGCGCAATTTGGAATACAGGATCATCTGTCGCACAAACTCGAAATTGTTGGGCTCGTTTTTGCTTTCTTGAGTGTCGGCTGTCTCCGGGGGTTAAAGTGTAGAAGCTGCAGCTCTATTGCCAAGATTCTTTATCATTCTACCCTATTTAGTGAACAACTGGGGTCTTATATACAGCGACACTCAGGCTCTATTCTATACAGTCACGACGAAACCATAGATCCACCCTTATTGTTCACCGTAGTTGCACTTCGCTGAGATGGACTGGGACCACTTTGGGTCTGTTGGATAGTCGAAAAACAGACAATACCTCCTCAGTGCTTTCGTTGAGTCTCTTGTTAACAGTGCACAATGTGGATCGAAACTCGGGAACTGCGCCTAACTGATGAGCCCCAACAATGGGAAAACCGAACATTTTTCAAGAAAACAAACAGCTCAATTTACAGGAATATGCGTTTACGGAACTGATGTAAACACGGAAACATGACGAAATGAATGGAACAGCTTATAATGTCTTCCGGTCCAGGAAGCTTTCGTTGACAGTTTTTTTGCCAGCTCTGACTCGAAAATCGTGAATTCTTTCGCCGTTCCGTTGATAGGTGTCTAGATGACATGTTGACCGAAACATCCCCGTTCTCTTTTCAGAACAGCCACCAACTCGGATTGGGTGTTTGTGCCTGTGTGCACTGTACGTGTTGAGTTGAGATCATGAGTTCAATTCGACCTGTCCGGTTTCCTTACAAGACCGCTTGCTTACTTGAGCTAGTCTGCTCAGTGTATAAATCAGAGTCTTCAATGCTCTAAGGTACTGCGAATTCTTTTGGTCCGTGGATGCGGAAGACACCGAACTAGTCCGTTTTCAGATCATATCCTTTTAGATCACTTGTCGTGTCGCCTGTTGTCACAAGTTGTGGTTGGTGGGTGACTTCAAAAAATCACTCTCGGGTTGCCATCTGGCGGTTTTCTTTTCACCAGTCAGCCAAATCATTCAAATTAACAATGCGACCAGGCATCCTGTGTACGCCAGTGGTTTCACGGCTTGCTGGCATCCTTCCGGCAAGTCGTAATACAAGCCTCACTGCTCGGTGTCCGGGCTCTATCTGATCAGGACAGACAAACCACACAGAAACCAGCTTTCCTGTTGTGGAACTTTTTAACTTCCGGTAACTGGTTCAAGTGGTAGGATAGGTTCCAGTAGCTGCGCTCTAAAAGTTGCTTCCTAGTGGAGATAGCATGAAAGGGCTTGTACGGCCCGACTACTCTGTTCAACCATCTGTGCCCAGCCAACCCGGAGTCAGGGGTCTGGTTCGAACCGCGGATCTTCCGCTAATTTACTTTCCGGTCCTCTGCCTCTCGATTTCTCCTGTCTAAGCTTGGGCAACCTGACAGTATCCCAGCCCTTTTGCCTCCTTCATGTGGCATGGTAGTTAGGCTCCGAAAGGATGTTACAGCTGAACACTATCTCGACTCTATGGAATTGCGTTCGCTGTTTTTTTGTGTTGCACACACCTTGGATGTGTTATGTTTTCTTTCTTTCTAGGAAGTATTAACTAACTCACTTGCTTGAGTCCTCTCTGGGTTCTATAATTCTTAAGGTGCTCACGAGTTGTTTTCTAGACAGCAAAAATGTATCCGCAAGCTTGCTAGATCCGGAGCGCACCGTCTTGGCAACTGACACAGGAATGTGAACAGTCCATGATAGTCCAACCATATCTGCAAGTTGAATCTCGATTCAGTTGTCTCTGTGGAACTGAATAGGAGTGGACATTCGCACTGCCACAGTTTTATTCCTTCCAGTCTTGTATCATCTTGCATTTGTCGCTACCGCCTGCCCACAGTTTTATTCCTTCCAGTCTTGTATCCGCATTTGTCGCTATCGCCTGTTTCACTCCCTTGAACTGCAGGTTGGATGGTACTGGGGTCCACTCAGTTTCCGCGAAGCTCAAGTTCTCTTGGCCAAGCGACCGGACGGGACGTTTCTCGTTCGTGACAGTGGCCATGACACATATATACTAAGCCTCAGTTTTCGAGTTCGTGGCGAAACCTACCACACGCGGATCGGACACAATCAAGGTAACTTTCTCATATACTGAGGTTCATGCCGCTTGTATTTAACTAACGTTTGGTAGTTTAGCCCACTGGTTTTTACAAGTGTGTTGGCTGTTTTCTCTCGCATTATGCCGGCTTCTGAATCACACTATTCCTTCACTTCCGCTGTCGATCCAAAAACGTGTTTAGAGCTTCCAGTGTCAATCTTCAGCCTTTAAGTTCAATTGTAGGCTCTCAGTATCGCACAAGGAAATCGAATTGTCGAAAGCTACGAGGTGTCCCTGATGGACTAAACTAAATTGAGTGCTAACTACCAGTCCAAACTTTTGAGCCCCATATAGGCATCCGGGGGCCCAATGATACTAGGAAAGTTTTCCACCAGAATTACCGCCAGAGGTGTATGGTTGCTTCGGTGGACAATGAAATTGGGTGACCTGCAAAATTATCAACTTAGGATAGTTTTTGGGTTGAGCATATACGCAACAGAATGCAACATTTTGGCGTGAAAAGGTTTACTCCATTCGCAAAAGTTTTGCAGCTAGGAGGAGGAGCATTGTGCGGCCAAGGAGCCCCGTAATTGAGACGCAGCAGTAAACAAACCAGGACTGCCTGCCGCTACCCCGACTCCTCCTACTCGAAGTGTAACGGCCTGACGTCAGTAAACTGCTTAGGTCGTGGCCTCCAACGCATAGCTGTTCTCCCACCAGCCCTCCCATCCCCGCTAAACGAAACTTCGACGGCAAGCGTGACGTCTGCTCGCCTCTTACCGTGCTGGTTGATCGGAACACAATACTGACTTGTATGACCCATCGGTGCCATCGCGGTTCCCACCGGACCGTGAACAGTACTCAAACCAATCCCCATGCTAAACAGGATTTGGTAATGATTCGCTTACCATCTACAGCGACCAGCCACCGCGCACTCAGTTTAGCCTGTCGTTACCAGGTCACTTGCCACGATGATTCACGATCACGGGTGAATTCAGTCCCACTCACTTGTGTCAGCGAGATCAGTCGAATTTCTCGTCGCTGTCCCCTCCATCGGCAGTTGACCCTCCCAGCCCCAATACGTCATTCCCTTTAGCTTTAGTTCAATTGTTTTTTTTCCGGTTATTTGCTTGCCACTGAGCTTCTACTTGAGTTTTCCCATGATCAATGACTTTGAATAGGCGTATATGGCTCCCATACCGCTCAACAACTGCCGTCTGTTCAGCGGGACGTCTACTGGAACACTTTTCGACAGGACAAGCTGTTTTTCTACTGACGAACTGATATTCACGAAATGGTTGACCCATTTCATTGTTTGTTTCGACTGTTTCTTCCACGGTAACTCTGGCCGATTACTCCTTCTCCTTCCCTCCACCATTCTCAAACGCTACTTATGATCTAGTTATCGGCGCGGTCACTAGTTGTATGCACCGCGCGAGGTCGCCTACCACACACACCTGTCTCTTTCCTGCCACCACAACTATAGCCTTCTCGTTTCAAATTACACCAGAATGATGCACTCAAAGGAATTTTCTCGCGATTTCAATGCGTCTCCGTTCAGCACAGCTTTCATTAAATGTGGCCTTCATCTAGTGACACTTCTCAGAATCCTATGGTGCCGGTGGCTCTCCATCTAAGTCATCCTAATTTCGTCTAAAGGGCGAGCACTCACATTGTGCACCCTTTTTTCGCACCTCTACCGGTTAAATGAGGTACCATAGGGATTGGGCCATCACCAACGAAGCGCTTTATATGCCGTCACTGTTGATTTATGGATCGGAGTTTTGATAGTTCCTCGGCGTATTGCTCGCCTGATTGCAGTGCGCTCCTCTTCAGTGAAAACATCACGGAACCACACTGAGAACAAGATCTCTTCACCGTGTGACCGGCAGATGTTTCAGGGACTTTTCGAGGAGACCTAAGGAGTAACATCCCACTGCCGAGTATGTTGACGCTTGTTCTGCTAAACTCCGTCATCGTATCTCAGCGTGATTGAGGATCTTGGGCTTCTACAGGTGAACAACGTGCCACATTTCGAATACTCGGTGCTAATGGCGAGCAGCCCTGAGGTCCCGACTGCCATCTTTGTTTCCATTATGCTCTTCAGATAGACCACCATCTGTAGACATTTTATGGACGCCATTGTACGTCACTATCGCTTGGCACACGCACTATCTACCTATTTGTAGCTCTCGTTCTCTGTTACTCCGCGCGCTTCATGCGTGCCAAGTTTTCTAACTACGTGTGTGTGTGAGCGCACACGCCAAATGAAACACTGACACCCATCGATTTGCCACCATGTTGTATGGTGGTGCCACGGCTCCTGCGTGAACGCATTCATATATGTGTGTGTGCACACACGCACCTGTTGCACCATTTTGCAAGTAGCCACGACACGCGTTTACCGTCTACCGGCGCTCCTCTCCGTACCTGTGTGTGCGTGCGCCTGTGTACTTCCATCAGCTATTCGTAACCTCGGCTATATTCCGCCACTGTGACCTCCAGCTGCATGTCTGCACTTTTTCCGTGATCGGTTTCACTGTCGGATTCCAGCTCACTTTTTTCCACTAAGCAACACGTCTTAGTTTGGCTGATGTGTGGATTGACTTGACCATTAAACTGAGTATGATTCATGCTCTGGTTACCGATTCTCAGTGAAACCATATTGCCAATGGGTCCTCGCTGATGTTTTACTTTCCCACCTCTCACCAAAATCTGAGCAACCTTTGACCTTCTGTCCATCACGGGTTGCACGTTCGTTTCACTCCAGAGTCCGTGTGATTTGACTGAGCTTGTCACGTGGTACGGGTAGGTTTGGACGAGGTTTGCTACTCAGCGAGAACGCCCGATACACAACGATGAGTCATATTTCTAATAATTGAAACTACGACACTCAGAAGTAGCTGCAGTAATGAATTATGAATAACTTCGAGGTGCATGCATTACCTGCCCACCACACCGATTCCTCCCGTCCTCATGATTGACTACACTGGTCTGTTGTGTGTGAATGAGCCTTATCCATGGTGTTGGCGGGGCACGTAAGATTGCGGGTGTCAGGCAGGATCCCGGTACACAGAGCGAAACGCAAACTTCAGTGGCCGTGCGCCACAAGCTTTGCCTAATATCATCGTGCATCATACCAATTTAACAAGTCAACTCTCCAAAACTTCACTTCCCGAGTCTTCAGGTGTTGAAGATTTTCTAACGAGCTGTTCATGTCTAAGCTTTTTATAAATCAGGGACAACAGGCCAGTGCCAATCGGCTGATTTCTTCTTGGCGAACCACTCTTCCTCACATTTCAGTTTTGCCTGAATTCCATTCCTTTTGCTCGTCAGTTCAAGCAGTTCCAAAGCTGCATTTATCTTGCCTCCGTCCTGTCGTACACAGCCATACACACAATCTGTGCGTGGCGTTTTCACACACTGACGCATGCGTCCATCGTGCTGAGTCATTCTCATTGCGGACTTTCTGGCACTTGTTGGTGCGCATTTTCACCAACACATGATCAGCGGAGTTCGTCATTCACATGCCCTCCGGCTTGGTCTGTGATTTCTTCAGCAGCGGAGCACGATACCACGAACACGGATGATAATCACAAACGAGTCAGCTTAAAACTCGCCTGCTGTTCAGCAAAGAACAACTGGCTGATGTGGTAGATCAGTTAGAAAATTACGTTTAGCTGTAACACCCTTCCGGTGTCTAGCTGCCATGCTACCCGAAGGAAGCACGAGGGCTGGGATACTACCAGGTTGCCCAAGCCTAGACAGGGAAGTTGAGAGGCAGAGGTCGGGTTTGAACCACGGACCTTCCGGGCAGTAAATTCGCGCTCTAACCACTTGAGCCATCTCACCCCCAAAATTACTTTATGGGTTTTAACGTCTGACTTATGAGAGAGTCTCTTGTCTGCGGTTCCCCCTTACCTCATCCTCACGTCACTTCTCGGACTGTGATTATCTTGGGGAATAAGCCAGTGTGGAGTTCACATCCCACTTTCACTAGAGCACATTCCCAACTGTATAGGTGCTATTCAACTGTGAAGAGGCATGCGGGTACACGCTGCGCCAAAAACTGCATATGTTGGGTGATCCACTTGTGCATTTCCAAATGCAGAAAAATTTTTAACCGAAGCCCAATTCTGTCGCTCTCGGAACAGCCGATCTCTGTTTTCCCCTTCTGTCTACTTTAATGCAGCACATTCAGTCGGAGGACATCATGAACGAGAGATCCAATTGAGTCTCCCGTGAAAACCAAATTGATTTGCAAATGAGTGTATTTCTCGAAAACAGTCCAATTTGGGTTCAGGTAGATCATAAGGTTGACGGAAACTCGGGGACTGCGCCTACCTGATGAGCCCCAAGAAGGGCGAAACCGGTCGTGGGCTGTCGAAGAGTTTTCAGCAACCTTGTGAGTAGTTTCCTTTATGAAAATATATCACGGTAAATCTACTTGAAAGTAATGTCTGTTGCTCGTTTCATTAGACGTTATCTCTCAATCGTTCGACCATCATCCCTCCCTCTCAGCTCTCATCTAGCTCCGCATTTCCATATTTTTACGGACAATACGTCACCCAGAAGCTTAAGGTCACCGAAATCGATGAATCTTTGTTTCGTCGTCCGACCGCGTTAACTCGTCAGATCAAATCGAATGATTTGCCTGGTCTCGAAAGTGAGACGACGAAAGTGTACTACTTCTTCATTTTCAGAACATGTGGCTCTCTATACCCTCACAAGTCTACTTATCACAAACGTCTTCTAATCACCAAATGTACTTAGGTTTTTTGCTTCGTTTTCCACCGTGCAGACATATGGAAAGATATCAAACTGCGAGCATGCCACTGTACACAGGGCGAAATGTTACCCGCCTAATCATCAGCTATCGCTGCGGGATGAGTAAGCGTGTCCTGTACTGCTCATTGTCTTGCGCCGATCGACCCAGTTATCCACTGCAGCTGCTTTTCCTCATTTTAGTGTCTCCACTCGTTGAGGCAGTTTTATGGCGTTCGTTTTCTCAAGTAACTAGATATCTAGGAGGGTGACCCCAACAGATGAAGTACACCTTACCGTTGGGTGGTCACATGTGATCCAAACTTGCATTCTTCATGGGTTCTTCAAGACATCCGATTTCGGTCCTTAGACTGCTAACCATGTACATAGCGCATTATGTTTGCTTGTTGCAATGACCTGCTCGCAGTGAGGTGTCAGTTTGCCTCCTGTTGTGACAAGGCTTCTGACGTCACTGATTCTTCGTCGTTTTACAGTGGCACGTGAAACCTTGACACATGAGAATCAAGCGAAATCTCGACCGGGTAGAGGCTGCGTTGACTAAGTCTTCACACTCCATTGGGTGTTAGAGCAGTGCCACACGTACAGACGACCCACAATCGTCGTGTTCCTTAATTTCAAGGGTCCGTTTGGTCCTGTCGATCGGTCAGTGCTGTTAACTTCACTTGCCCAACAGCAAGTGAGCGTGTGTGTGGTGAGCTTTTCGAAAGCTTCACTACAAATGTGGTGTCCGACAAGGATGTCCACTATCTTCATTGTTCAACTTCGTCGTTGATGAAATACTGAGGCAGCCACTGGAGGGCTTTCAAAACTCCAGCGTTCAACTTGTTGCTGATGAGAACCTTGTCAATCTGGAGTGAGCAAACGAAATCGCCCTCATCTATGCAGATCAAGACGAAGCACAAGCCTTGTCGAATACACTGGCCACCGTTGCACCATCTCTTGGCATGCGCCTTGCACCTTCAAAGTGCAAATTTATGCTTCAGAGTGTGCAGTCTCTTACCCCTTACAATCCAAAGAGGATTGCTGGAGGTTGTGGGGAATTTTACATACCTCGGTAGTAGCATTAACTCTGACGGAAATGTTTGATGAAGTCAGTGAACGAATCTCAAAGGCCTGAATCACTTTTGGTAATTTGCCTCATTTGTGACGTCAAAAGGGCAAATCAATGGGCCTTAAGGCTCGCATGTACCAGGTTACAGTAAGGGCTGTTTTGTTGTATGGATGAGAGATGTGACCTCTGCAGATAGATGATGTGAGGGATCTTGAAGTGTTTGATCACCGAGGCCTCAGAAGCGTTGCTGGTTTTGGATTGCGTCCACGGATTAGCAGCGAGGTGATTGGTTGTACAGCAGGTACTTCAATCGCGGAAAACATTCAGCACCATCAGCCGCGATGGCTCGATCATGTGCTACGCATGCCGAAACACCGTTTATCTGAACGAGTATTGTTCTCCGTACCTTCTTCAGAATGGCGCAAACCGCGAGGTGGACAACGTGTGACTTAGCAGAAGGGTGTAGAAGATTACAAGGAGTTTGTGTGTTCTTGGTGATGATGATGAATGACCGGCTCAAAGAAAACGGGTCAAGCGGACCGTTGCCCGGTGAGAAGCAAAGAAAGTGCTGACTACATTTTCCAAAAGGAAGGTAACCATTCCAACAGCGCGTTGATTCAAGAATGTGACTAAGCGGAAAGACAGCATGGAAACGGAATACCCAGAGAGGACTAGGCACCGAACGGTCAAGCGGACCGTTGCCCGGTGAGAAGCAAAGAAAGTGCTGACTACATTTTCCAAAAGGAAGGTAACCATTCCAACAGCGCGTTGATTCAAGAATGTGACTAAGCGGAAAGACAGCATGGAAACGGAATACCCAGAGAGGACTAGGCACCGAACGCCCGGTTGGGGCGGCGCAGTACAGTGCCTATCCTGGATATCTAAGCTCAGTCCGTATTCTCTTCCAACATCCAACGCATATCATGCTTTTCGCAGTCTAAATTAGACCTGATGCTCTACCACTTTTGTAAACTCCTGCGAAGTAAGACAGTTGTGCAACCTTCTAGAAAGCGTATAGTCATCTGAGTTGAAGTGATCGGTACGAGCACTGATACACCCAAGCTACGTGCCCGCCGGGACACTATTACAATATGCTTACTGTGAATGGGGTTAACGGTCATTTATCGTTCAAATCCCCGTAAGAACGTGCGACCGACCTTCGTATGCATTTCAGTGGCTAGAGGTCTACGTGCGTTTTTGGCGAAATTCATCTTCCAGACAGGCCAACGTCTCCGGACGACGACTTTGTTATCGTGGTGTCCACAACGGCTTCGCACGTCCCATTTATGAGAACTAACCCGTTTCCTCCGGCGTGTATCGAATGTTTGTCTTTGTCATGCGTTGAGAGTCAGATAATCTAAGTGGGGCTATCGATCTGTGCTAAGTGTCTGAACATGCATAAAAAGCAAAAACGATTTCCAGTGCTCTCAAATTCTCCAAATTCTTCAGCTGTTTTGAAAACGCCTGTTATAGCCATTACAGCCGTTATCGCTGGCCCCAACTGGTTTCCTATCCTACCGAGTCAGACGTGACACAGCAAATCATATGCATGTTTAACTGTCATCATCTGCCACCGATTCATCCAACTTGATTCTCCTCCCTCTGCCACGTGTGCTTCGCCTGTAGACCGTTTCTGCCAAGAACTGCTTGGTCTGGCGAGCTCCCCACACCATCGTCAGTATGTGTCGACGGTACAACGCGCTACTCTCTCACCGTACGTATCTCAGGCCTCACGCCATCGACGCACGCGTGTCAGCGCATTTAGTTGTGTGTGCGACTTTGTGCGTGCGGTCGGTACCGCCATGTGTGTATCGGTTACCGTCTCGGCCTGTCCCTTCATCGCCGTTTGTCTTGGATAGTTTGGCAATGAGCCAAGATTGGCAATGTCGACGGTGATTGTTCGTTTGCCACAGTGTATATAGCATACCTGTCTACCCTGGTGTCGTGCCAAGCTTCAACCAGTTGGCTGTGTGCACCATTCTATTCAATGCGATGGATTTATTTTCATTGTCCCAGGCCTCATCGTTGAACTTCGCTTGGAGAATAGTTTTACGGTAAACGAACGAACCGAACCACGCAACAGTGGGCCTGGTCAACTTTCAGTAACACCTAAAACGATCTAATTTATTGACTTGAGTAGCAGTCGTTCATGACACACAGTGTGCTTCCGTCCTTCACTCACGTATACTGCAGCGGAATGTGCACAATTCACAGCTGATTGCAGTGGCAATGGATACTGAATGAATAAAATTTCATAGGTAGTAGGATTTTGAAGTTTCACTTCTGATTTTGTTCTGTAAGTCGAGTCCACCTACACTTAATGGCTGAGAAGCACTGTGCAGTTGTTTCGTTGTTGAGAATCAGTTGCAGCGCGCATCCCACGAATTCCAGTGGGGATTGGAACTTGCATTCCATCCGAAAGTATTGAATTGACACAAGACCGATCAGACACACGTATCCGCCCAGTAATGTTCAACTCATGTCCAGAAAGGTTGCAGGTACCGCTTTCCTGGTTATGCTGGTAGGGACACTGGAGTGCGGGTAACTTAAAGATCATTGCTTTTTAACACAGCATCCTTGATCATACTCCTAAAACTTCGCGGTAATTCGGTAGGACAACAGAGCACTTAAGTAGCAAGGTGATGCACAATAGGGTGAATAAATGAACTGCGCCTTCATAAATCCCTTCAACCTTTTCCTGCTGATTAACTGGAAACAATGGTTTTTTTCGTATGTCTATCACCTGTACTCAACTGGAGATCAAGAAACATAATCCTCTACCAGTTGACGACAGTGGTTGATACGAGGTCGAATAGCCGGGCAGGCACTCGTCAGTGTGATGGGTCGCATGTATCTATTGAACAATGGGACGCTTATACCCAGCGTAGACAGGAGCAGTCGGGATACTCGGGTGGGTTCGAACCATGGGCCTTTCGTGCCCTAAACACTGAGCTCCCTCCAGAGCTCACAACAAACGGTACCCGATCAGTAATGTTCGAATTTAGAGTGGAAATAGGATAACGCATCTCTTCATCCTCCTCTACAGCACTCCCATGTTCTAATGCAATTCCCTCTCTCCAATGCTATTATTTAGTTTGTGTGTGACACTCGCATGTACCGGGCTATCTGTCCCTCCGTAGGGACAGAGATCACCTAGTACGACTGACCTCGCTTGACCTCTTCAAGCTTGCACTAGAGAGGAAGCACTGTGCATCAGTTGTGGTCCGAATGTCACCACCCTTTGTAATTCTAATGGTTTGCACATCGGGACATCCACATTATCCGTTTGGAAAGCTCGATCAGGGGTAGGACAAATTTACTCAGTCTCCGCCTCTTCAACTCACATGGCTAACGCCATAAGGTCTAATAAAAATAATCGCTCAGCTGTAACACCCTTTCGGTGCCTAACTACCATACCACAAGGGCTGGAGTACTTCCAGGTTTCCTAAGCCTAGACATGAGAAGTCGAGAGGCATAGGTCAGGTTCGAACCACGCGCTCTGATCAGTGACTGTGAAATCCTCTATCAGGTATATCTTAGCCACACAATAGTAGCATATATTAGCTAGTCCCTGCTGCTAGTTGCGAATGGTTTTCTCTCAGTGGCGTGACGTGTCCCGTTGATTACACCCGAACCATCTCTACTAAGCCGTGAGATTTATTCGAATGAACCACGCTGATCCACTTAGCGTCATGTGATTTCTTTCACATCCTTTATTACCAGGGCTTAACGCGTGTATGTGTGTGTGTGTGCCTCAACACGCTGGTTGATGAAGCGAGATCTTATTTCTGCCTTTTGCCTACAACTTCCGTCTCAGTTATTCGACACATTATTTAAGTGTGATGACGTTTCGGTTCAGACTGCCAAGTAGCTTGCCTAGATGCTGCAGCAGCTAGACAGGAGCAACCGGAGTGTCATTCACGGTTGGACTAGGACCACGCATCTTTGCATCCAGCACTTGCGGCATGTCCACTGAACGAGAACTCACTTGAATGCGAAGAACCGGCCTGAGGCAATAAAGAGACTCTGACGTCGACTTTCAAAAGCCAAGTGATATTGTACATCTGTTTTATCACCTTTTGGAATCGTCCTAAGTGCGCATGCCAAGAATCCCTGGGGTTCCTGGGGTCCACTGGCTTGGAGACCTCCATGTGATGATCAATTGAACTTAGACAGATTATGAGACCATGCACCCTTCAATCATGCAGTACACTTCACGTGATCTATTTCGACCGACTCTTCAGTTGACGACTTCTCATGTGACCTTGGGATATTTTGTTGTCCGCGGAAGAAGCAACAACGTAATAACCGAAACGTGAAGATGCATGCCAGGTAGATACCAAATCAACTTTTTCATTTTTCAACGTAGCATCCACAACTGATTGATGATGAAGTTCTTGATTGTGTAGGTGTGAATGCTGACGGTAGCAATTGCCACGGGAGGTCCTCCGCCAATTTTTTCTCCGAATCTTGCGGCATTTTTTTCTTGTTTATCGTGCCTGAAGGCACTTATTCAAATTGGGGAAAAGTTTATCGCTTACTAGTACAGCCGATATTAGTGGAAGTTCCGATGCCAGCCAGACTAGGCTCACTTAAAAAAGGTTTCCACTACCTGTGAGACATCGATGCAAAGAGAGACAGACCTCTGTTGCCTATGACGAATGTCGTGAGAGGCTTTCTCGGTTTGCTTTTCAAGATGATTAGTCAGAAAAGGATTCCTTTCTTCTTCGGGTTCCAAAAGAGGTGCTCGGGCACTGATCACTCGGGAACCTTCAGTTAGAGGTACAACTTACTTCGAAGGAGCTTTACAATACCGATGACCAATATTTGCTTGACACCTTAGCGGTCGGTTTACAAATGCAGTAAAATACGACTTGAGTATACTCTCGGGCTCTACGTCCTATTCCCTCCTCCAGTACCTCTTCTGTCACTTTGTTTACCATACCCACTGCTTCGTCCCACAGGCCGCTTCAGTTTCTGGTCTCAACCTCAGTCACACAGCGCGAGCACGATGGTGGAGTTCATTGAGAAGGCAGTCGATCATTCGATCAGCGGTCAGTTTCACTACTTTCTACAAAACATTGCTCAAGGCCAGCCGCCCGTCGAGGTCCCACTACTCTATCCACTTTCCAGGTTCCAGGTAGGTTTCGTTATGTAGCTGCCGTTATCTCCCACACTCCTCTTTCAATCAGTTGCACCGCTTGAAACACTCCGCTTATTCGTCGGAGAATTTCTGTGTGTCAACAATTTCTATCACCTATGAGATTCGCGTGGGCGTTCGTCCGTCGCTCATGTATTCGTGTACATCTGTGAGACAACTGTTGAGCCTAGACATGTTAGTGAAACCTTGTGATAGTATTTTCGACTCTAGCTTGCTTACGTCGTTGCTGTTTGCCCCCGAATAGCGATTTCAACCATGCAGATTCCTCGACCAGCAGTCTGGTTTCTCAGATTGTCGCTGAACTTGGGTCGTTGATCACTTGGTTGAAATACCGATGGTAGTGTAATACGAATGCTATATCGATATTCAATCAACTGCGAGGTGCCTAAAGAGACAAACAGCAATTTGCGAAACAAACTCATTCGCACTGTTTGGTTTTAATGGGAGACTCGACTGAATCTCTAATTTGTGATGTTCCTCTTCAACTGGTTGTTGTCCACGAAGACTGCTTCATGTTTCAGTTGGCACGGTTTTCGAGATATCGCAGTGTAGCTTCCTGAAGAAAACTGCCCGTAAGGTTGCGACTGTGCCTACCTGATGCACCCCAAAAAGGGCGAAACCGATCGTGGGCTGTTGAAGAGTTTCCCTCGAGAAGCAAGCAGAACGTTCCAGGGCTAGTACGTTCTCGACTAACAGCATCAGGGAATCGTTGTAACTGCGCTAGCCATCTAATTTCGGAAATGAATCTCCTATTTTGACACCACCTGTACGTTCACAACCCATCGATACAACTGCAGTCGCTTGTCCAACGGCACTAGAGCTTGAGTTTTAGCCTCATTTCACGATCCTAAACGCAAAAGTTCAACCCTACCACTTGGTCTTCGGTCATTACTCTGGAGGTCTGATCTTCCTTCTTTCGTTTTCTCTTTTCGCTCCAAAACTGATGGGCTTGTCTCTGTCTGAAGAGGCTACCTCTCTCAATAGACTACTTCTGGTAGAGTACTGAGTCTTTTACTGAAGCTTCTAGGTTCTGGAGGGCAAGCCCAGTCCATCCGGTGTATTCGCGCGCTCATGGACTTTGCTCATTGCATGTCTATTGGATGGTTCTCAGGCAATACAAGCGAAGCAGCTTTAACCGCTTGTCTCCTAGTTTATTGTTATCTGAATCAAATGAAAACAACTCGATAAAATTCAAATGCACTAGCGACTAACAAGCTTCATTGATAGAGCGTTGTGCGGTCGATATCGCATCACTGCTACCGCTTGAAAAAGTCCGACAACTCACTTCGATGACTTGCGGTGGTGAATAGCAAGGTTGGTCGATTGTACCTCTCTGGATGACTGCGTCGCGATTGCATACATAATACGCTGACTCATGTGATGCATGAATTGAGCGGTATCAATCCTGGCCCCCGCTGCATTCATGGTTCTCTTCCAATCATATCAAAGTCCACTCGTCATGTATTTGCCCTTTGATTACATTGACAGTTTTTAATTAAGCTGTCCAAACTTTCATGCTCACACCACTCTCACTTCTATGCTCCCGGTCCTTTCACCGGCGCAATCATCTTGGTTCACGCCTGCCTCACTGGGTTGAACAAACCGAGTTGTGTCTTCAACACATCGCACTGTCGGCGCTGACCACCGATAATTCGTTGGTAGGAAGCTAGATGCAGTGTTCTAAAGAGACCACTGGTTTGCATCGGCTTCACAATGACGTGACGGGCCAAGTAGAGCCCTATGTTGTGCGCCAAGAAATTCACGCAGTTCCTAGCAGAACAACGAAACAACCGGTCGGTATGCGTTCAGCTCAGTCTAGACGAGACTATGATCTGTTCTTCTCCCCAGCTCGCATAGGTTTCACTTGTTTTTCATTCGCAACGTGACCGGTGAGCTCATGGGCTAGGTGTCAGTACTTCTACCAGAGCACGAATTGCCGGAGGGAGCATCTAAAATGCCTGGGAAAATCCGTGGGAGTGCGTATGGTTGTCTAGAAATGTCCACACCATTCTTCAAGCTAATTCCCGTTTTACTGAGACATACGTCCCTCACTGAAACCTAGTTTTAATCTGCCGTCTGGAACAGTCGGTCCTCTGCTGTTGTCGAACATAATCCACACCAATCACTGACACTTGAGTTTCTGATTTTCTAACTAGATGTGGTGCCCATAGTCGACAGCCCGCTGAAACAAATGAGAAAGTTGATAACACGTTTCCGAAAATCATTTGCTGAGTCCTGCTTGGCAAACTTGTCTGGACTTCTGATTGCAGATGGTCTAGTGGTGTTCTTGATTGCGACTGACCGCTCGCGACCATCTGCCGTTGCACCTTACCATTAATGGTTGGGTCTGCAGCATTTGACGTCAACTCTAGGCTGTCTGATCTTGTTAACACTTGACAAAAGGCATGCATCAAATGTGGGGGCATGCTAAATCGGTATCACGGGTCCTGTTGACCAGTCCTAACTCGCCGATCGATCAGTGCTCAGCAAGATACCAACTGACGCCGGTTGTTTTCTTGTCCTAAAACCAGCTTACATGGGTCAGATTCTGCGCCGATTCGCTGACACTGTCTGTCGCTATTTCTACTTTCAACTTGCGCACACACGCATATTTAGCGTCTGTCACACTTCACTGTCCTTGTCAATCATAGCAGCCCTTTCACTTGATCTGTTGATCTTCATTCCTTTCACCCGTGTATTGGTGTCCTAAAGACTGTGTCGTGCGGATTGCAAAGTCAGATAGAACACGTCCGAACGCATTCTTGTAGTCGACGCACAAGCCACAAGATCTAACATGCTCGCACATGCTCCTGGAAAGCGTCCGTTTTCGTGTGTCACACCGGTTTGTGGCGAAAAGCCTCCGAACCAGACAAGCGACCCCATTAGAGTCATCGGAACGGGAGAGTACATGGGTTAACACGCAATTGCAGAAGGTTGTTTTTTACTGGTGCTTTTCACACATTCCGGTTGGACGATAAATGCGTTTTCTCTCGTTTTCGCTTCCAGGTGGTGCCATCACTTCGGCACCTGGCTCGTTTCACCATCCTCTCGTTTGTTCGCAGGGACCACATCGACAAACTACCACTGCCTTCACGTGTCCTGACATATTTGAAAGAAAAACAGTATTATGTAGAATCGTTGGAGGCGTTTGAAGAGGCTATCCGCGACCGCAGCCCTTTAGAGTTCCGGCCACGTTCCGCAGATGTCGCACCCAACGTTGATCGGTCTAACTCCGACCGATTGGCGAATAACGTTTCAGAAACCGCGATGGCTGATGGAGGTGGGCCCCGTCCACCACCGAACACATCCTGACATATGGCAAGATACCTTCCTCCTCTGAGCTGCAATATTGTCCACCCCATGCTCTGCTACTGATAGACAGTCGTTCATTTCCCTGTACGAGATGTAAAATGGAAATAACCACTACTATGGCTATATTATTTTCCCCGAATTTCGTCATTTTCTCTCTTAGCATCATTATCATCTCATCAATATTATTATTTCTTCGATGCACAAGTTTTCTTTTTGTCTCTTCTTTGCCGCTCTCTTTCTCCCGTTCGGTATTGCTACAACCCTGGATCCCCCCCCCCTCCCCACCTACTCGTGTCACCAATCTTTTTTTACCGTGAACCAAAATGTGAAAGAGGCAAACGATGATCAAATCCACGAACCCCGCTCATTCAGACCTCCACTCCCCTACTTGAATCGTGTTTTGTACATAGGTCCCCTGCGCCAACCCTACTTCCTGCTCCTTCCACAACATATACATATAGGCATAATTTGAGCCGATTCTTTGAAGACTTTTCGATTATTATTACTATTACTACTACTACTACTATTGTGCTACTGGGTTGTCTGAACTTGGTTAGGTACAGAATTCAAACTGCCAGCTTTTGACCGGAATTATCGATCGATTGCCAGATGTGTTGGTCGCACAGCAGCTGACATTTTGAACGAGAATCGCATTTCTGATTAGACACGGGAACCACGTGTTAACCACCCGGAACGTCTGACTTAAATAATTCAATTGACTTTTGATAAGAGTCACGATGCGCGGTTGACATTGCATCAGACTAAAAGTCACAATGACGTCGTTCGTCTAGTAATAGCAGTAGCAGTAGTCACTAGACAAAGACGAGCCGACATGCCACGGTTGTTGTGTATGTCAGGGTTGTACGAGGGCTGGTATACTGCCAGGGCGCCCACACCTAGGCAGGAGAACGATTAGGGTCCTCAACCAAAGTCTTGGGCTCAAAATCCTAACCGCAAGGCAGCGATGTTTGGCGGGAAATGCAAATGCATCACCATTTCTACGGAGCAAGTCACCACATGTTCCAACCCCCAACCTGGAGATTGTGTTTGTCAGACCTCTACCCATGGACCAACCTGGTATGAGAGACTCTGTGAGCATCGTGCGGACACTCCCCAGTATAGCTCAATGGGTCGCCGAGTTACACAAACCGCCATACCACGGTAAGGTTCAGTCTCTTCGCGACGGAGCCGATATACCATGGAGGACTGATTGGCTTCTTAAAGAATGAGCCACACCACTAGTTTCATTCTGATCAGGACGTGGAATCGCCTGATGCTGATGGCTTTGTGTGCAACATAGTTACACCGGATATTTGAAGTGCTTTTATGCACTCAAATTTCAAGCCTCAACTGCGTAAGCGGTCACCAACCATGATCACATAACGTCAGTGGTATCTTGTACCTCCGTTGGGGAAACCAATTGTTTCATTTTCAAAAACACAGTTTGGATTGTGTTCTCGTATTCTGTCCGACAAAAACACAGTTTGACTAAATTCTGCTATGTTTCGACCATTATTTATCTCCTGCTAGAGCGTGCATATCGCTCCCAAGCGAACAGACATTTACACTTTACTAATCGACACTCATCAGGCGCCTAGCTCAGTTTGGAAGTGTGTCAAACTCGATGCTTGTTGTTGACATTATGCATTGAGGTGGTGACATACCTACAAAAACCTTACTTCGTATCAGTTGAATCAGTTTATCGGGTCAGAAGCTGTTCGAATACCTGAGGGTAGTTGTGAAAAGTAACGATCGCCTAGTGCACTGACAACAGTTTACGTAGTTTTTTTCCTCGCGAAGTGACTGGCACCTATTGTGCATGCATCCCATCTACCAATATCTGGTCAGTATCGGACTAACCGACCAAACGGAGTATTCAAACCGGTCGTGCTCTTCCAAGACAATGGGCTCGCAGATCTAGAGTTTCTCCAACGAGTGTTTGGTGCTCCCTTCTGTGATTTGTAGTAGCAATGCAACATGTTACTGTGACCTGGCGGTTTCCGTAACAAATGCTCAAGGCTAGCGTTCTACCGAACCGACCAGCTATTCTGTACTGGTCATCGTTTGACATCCTTGGAACCACAATCAACGCAAGTGAATCTCGGGTTGCGTGTTTTTGGAGGCCTTTTTATCGTTTATAGTTAACGCGCTTTTTGACTGGATATCTGTATGGTCTTCCAAGATTGGTTCGGTCCTCTAGTTGGTGAATACTAGCGTCATTCTCTAGTCAGATTCCTAGCAGTTCAAACCATCGATAGGGATAGAGCCACTCAGTGGGTTGGGAAAATGCTGACTTCGAACTACTGATAAGTAGGCACTTGTTTTTTGGCTCTACGGTCAGCACACGGGTTCAGTGTCATCGACTGCTCTACAGTAAACCTATTCCAGCATATTCCCATAGTTTGCTGCTCATCGTTCCTTTCGAATTCCCAGTCATTAGAAGAATGGTTTATCTGTCGGATTCTATATCTCGCAATTCGTTCAAGTGAGGCCTAACTGATAGTTCAATATGCGTGTACTCATTGTGAGCGTCACATGTTTGGCCCGGAACGACGCAGCTGATACCACCACAGAATGCTTACGTGCTGCTAAGTAGATTGATGGCCAGCACATGACCAATCGGACTAGCTGCGTGAGTGCTTGGCATACATATGCATCTGAGTATAAAGTTTGTTTCGCTCAGCATGAGGCGAGGGTCTCCAATCTATGGCCTGTGGGTTGGATCCGGCCCACTGTTTATCTTCGAGAGATCCCAGGATGTTCCTTCCACGGAGATTTTTTCTCGTGGAAGACTAGCCAATAGTAACAAGCCAACAAGGTTCATGAGGTCATGAAGTAAACGTTCTGGGTATTCAGTACCCTCGGATGTCCTTGAATCGCACATACCACGCAGTATGGTGGGTCTCTCTAGTATTCGTCAACTCCCGTCATCTAGTTGATCGCATCTAACTGGACGTGAAAGAGAACCACTGGACACGAAGGCGTATAGCGATAGGAAATGATGATTAGTATCGAACTGGATAATCCTGTGTAGCTTCATTCCATCCTTTGGTTGTATTTTTCTTCCTTCATTATTTCAGCTGCAAATCGTTCCAGAACATGGTGCTGTGTTTACATCCAAAACTAAATCAAGTCAAGTCTTTTTGAAACAAGTCACTTTTGTGGCGAGTTAGTGTATCAGCTGTGCATATGACAAACTCTTCATAGTGACCATCTGCTAGTGAACCTGGGTCCGTGTCATAAGGTCCTTCGATTGTACTATCTTCTCTAGGGACCTTGAAAGTTCTCGTCTTCCTGTCTTGGAACCTTGTTTCCTCGAGGTGGGGGGTTGTGGGGTAAAATAGTTCTAAAAGAGCTTCTAAAATCTCAATGTGCTTTCTCTTGGGAGTTCTCCTCGAGAGGGGACTGCTGTGACTTCTTTCTGTTTTCCACAAGCGTCAAGCTACTTATTAGAGTACGTTCGTGCTAGAGAAATTGGGAGAGGAATATTTCCGTAAATAGGTCTGTAAAAAACGAGTTACAGGCTCATTATAAGACAACATGCTTTGCGTTCTCGGTGTGTGTTCGACTGAATCAACCACAGTGTGGTCAGTAATATACTACTTGTGAGTACTGTAGCCTAACCAGGCTGTAATCCTGCAGAAGGTGCCAGAGTAAAGAGTTAAGGGAAGGGAATACTCGGACTTTTTTGGAAAAATCCCTATGTCAGCTGGGGAAATGAAGGTACTTCCAGCTTCAGGCACTACTGAAGGAATCAAATTTGAGTACTATATGAGGTTAGCGGCATTGATCCAGCAACTGATGCGAACCTCATCTAACGCAACCATAGAGACATTAGCTGATCCGTCCGGCTAGAAATTGATAGCATGCCCGCCACTGGGATCGGTTAGAGACCATATTCTTCAGCGTTCCAACTCTTGGGCACCGAATATCAGCTGGGTCACTTCCTCGAAGATTTGACGGAGCTCAGCACACATTACCGTGTTACAGCCTGTCTCGAGTCAACCTTACGCCAACAAGCATTTAGCGTAGAAAACCGCTTTTTTGGTATATGATAATTTGGCGTGCGTAGCGAATCTCCTAACCATCTTAACCCAGCCAAATATATCTGCCGCTGTAGCCATTTCAGTCTTTTGGCATGCCAACGTCTACGCACCACTTCACTGTGGACATGCTACATCCAACTAACGCCGAATTCGCTATGAAGAGAACGGAAGAAGTTAGCGATACCAAGTTGTCACACCGTCTGGCATTGATATCCTTTGGCACTTGATCGATTCCGATGGCTATGTGACGTTCGTGGCATGCGCAGAACTTCAGAAAGCGTCCTGAAAGAAATACGGACAACTTTGCTTGGATGAAACTCTGGTAGAGAGCGGAATATATCTGGTTTGATGGAGGAGTTGGGAGAACAGGTAGGATGAATCAGTCGTATCCTACAGGCACCCGAATCGCCATAATTAGGCGTTTTTCGGAGCATTTGCATTGGAACCTCGTTGGGGTCACATTCCAGCTCAGAGGCTTGGGTCGGGTAAAATTCAAGGCTTTGTTTTGACGGGAAGAAAGCCGGAGGCGCCTTACTCGGATCCCACATGACTGCGAATCGGTTGTAACTGAGACGCCATCTGTTGAGTACCGTGACCGGATTCGAGGACAGCTGTGCTCATCAGAAGATCGCGGAAATCCATCGAGAGGAGGTTGGCGGACCGTTTTTCTCTGAAGTAATCTGGATGCTTATGCTTGAAACTACACCCACTTGTATGAACAAAGCTTTCCAAAGCTAAGTGGTGTTGCACAAAGTTTATTGTTCAGCACTTCAATGCAATCATCAACCAACCAATCCTGGTTCCATAATCCAATCTAATTAAGTGCCGATTACGAAAATCTGGACAACTATTGATTCAACGCTGTGTCCGGTTCTTTGTGCATTTGAAATGATCCACTGGTTTGCGTATGCCACTAGTTGATGCACACACAAGCTTAGAAATTCGACTTTTTGCCCTCCCCTAAATTGTTCGTAGGTCTGTGATTAGAAGATATCACAAATACGAGGCTAGTTCTGAGTTGTATCTTCTCTTCTTCTTGTCTTCTTTCTGGCAACTGTTACTGCTTTGAAGAACGGCATTACATCAGTTAATGTGCCCTCAGATTCTGGGTACGCTAATCCTCATATTCCGTGCTGAACGCGGCGGTTTACGTTTATCTCTTGTGCACACCATTCCTTCGTTTTGGACCATATTCTTCTTGTCTTCTTTCTGGCAACTGCTACTGCTTTGAAGAACGGCATTACATCAGTTAATGTGCCCTCAGATTCTGGGTACGCTAATCCTCAGATTCCATGCTGAACGCGGCGGTTTACGTTTATCTCTTGTGCACACCATTCCTTCGTTTTGGACCATATTCTCATGGATGATTTAAAAGATCGTATTTTCATTCCTGTTCACTTAATTTTATATCTCGAAGGACAATAATCACCATTTTTCAGTCGTGATTCGCCAGACAGTAGTCACATGGACACAGTGAGCTTGCCAAGTGACATCCAGACCGTTCGTTATCGATCCGGCGGGGAGCTAGCAAGCCTTTACATGCAGAGGACACACGAAAGATATCAATGTTTGACCATCGGTGTCTTCGAAGCATTGGTCAGGTCTGGTGGCAACATCGGATTAGCGACGCCGAGGTACGCCAGATGGTCTTAGGAAGAATGAACTCTCCCGCGATATATGAAGTACTCACGCTTCATGCGTTTCGCCGGTAGAACATGTCCTCCGCATGCCAGGAGACCACCTGCCTCGCAGAGCTCTTTTCGAGTGGCCCGGTGCCAATTGGAAGCGACCGCGAGATGGACAGTATATAACCTGGCTACGAAGTACGAAAACACTAACCAGTAAACTTAGTCGGATCGACAACTACTGCCTCCCCGTATGGGGATCCCGGTACTCCACTCACCAATGGCTATTGATGCTGGCAAAAATGGCCCAATCACACAGTCAATGACGCCCATGCATCAGAGCTATCGACTTCAATGCTTAGCTACCTGATTCCTGAACAAACTGAACATGCCATCTCTCCCGATGTTTGACTGTATGTTCCTTATTCCTCCGCTTTCCGGTGATCGAATCTGTCCTGCTCTGTGTCAGATAGATTTTAGTGGAATATCATCCCGAGAGATCGAAGAAATGATTGATTGATTGATCGATTGACTGGTTGGCTGGCTGGCTGATTGACTGATTGATTGATAGATTGATTGATTGATTGATCGATCGATTGATTGATTGATCGATCGATCGATTGATTGATTAACTGATTGTTGACCAAGCTATCTTCGTATGTGATTCATGGGTGGGTGCTGTCAGGAAGGTCAGGTCTCTCAAGGTTATCCCAGAATACCGGGAACCTGCTGTGACCCACTAAACGCCGATCAGACAGTCTTGAATGAGGGCCAAACAGTGCCTTTAAAATAGCGTGAGGCCGTTGTACCTGCATGCACTCGCGTCTTAGCAATAAAGCTGTTGTATTCCTTGTCGGCGAGTCTCTTTCCGGTACTAGGCACTAGAGCGGGGACAGCAGTTAGATGTAATCAGTAAGCTGGTTCTCAACGCATTCTCACTCATCACAACCGGATTTAATCCGAATTCGGACAGTTTACATGGAAAGTAGGCTGATGTATTCTCGTGAAGTACAGTTTCAATATGAGGAATTGAAGTACTGTCATGTAGTAGTAATGTACTGAAGTTCTTAGCAGTTGGTCGTCTGCTCACATCACCTGTTGTCCTCCGAATAACAACCTTTGAGGCTTCCTATCTCTCGCGCGGCTTAAACTTGAAAAACGTCTCTTTAAAATCTGTGGACGCAACAGGAAATGGATGTGTGTTTATCAACACTTTTACAATAGTTTTGTGCTGAGTACTTCACGCATAGCCAATCGGTTGCATACAATTTCATTATTAGTCGTCGGTGGTGCCGGTGTCGTTAGAAAGGTCCTCCGCCTCTCCTGGTGCACTTATTCTTGTCAGTCCGCAGCAGAGAGGGAAGACACTGGACTCGAGTTTTCCTCCTATTGAAGCTCATCAGCAGTACATATCCTGGCCGTATTCGAGTTTGAACCTCAGAATTTGATATGAGACACTGGACTCGAGTTTTCCTCCTATTGAAGCTCATCAGCAGTACATATCCTGGCCGTATTCGAGTTTGAACCTCAGATATTTGATATGTGACGCCAGCGCACACCTGACGCGCGTGAATATGTCACAGTATTATAATACTTCATATTGTAGTCCACAGCTCTCCTCCTCGAAACGTTTTCCAAATTGCTGAATCAGGTCCTTTTGGAGAACCTTTTTTCCTAGTCGTTGCAATGAGCGAGACATCACCTTTGACTAATCAAAAGTTTTCCAGGCGTGGAAATTCACAAGTGTCCAGTGCGCACTGGTGGAGTACGGAGGAACCGCTTGTGTCATATGTCTGTTGTCCAGAGTTGGGACTTCGGAATAGCCAAGGACATTCACTACTGATGAGCTATAATAGGACCGAAGCTTAAGCCTAGTGCTTCTTCTCTTTTGGTTCTGAGTAGGCCAGCTAACGCACTCCTTGATTAGCACAGAGTTGATTAACGATGAACTGGGAACATCGCAAGAACCGTTCATAGAATGCTTATGCTGTGTGCCAAGTGCCGTTAAGGCCGACCGTTTTTTAATAGTTTCTTTCTTCGCTCTCAATTTGAACATTCCAATTCAACGTAGTTCACGCAAAGCCGCTTGCTGTTCAATGAATTTATGGCAACTTTTGGCTCGTTGCACGCACACACACACACACGTTCGTTCTAATGGATTCTGTAACACGCTGAGAAAATTCGATCCGGTCGATAACTACTTGTGAGCTTCACTCAACAGGACAATTGAGTCAATATCGATCATAAACCCTCATTGACGGGTTCCACTCTCAACCCGTTGGTCTCTATTGAAGTATAGCATGAGATCCTCGATGTTCTTTTAATGTGCCTACGGGAATGCGGAGCTGAGTACCTTATCTAGCTAGAATGAGGAGATCAACCGGGGAAGAGGTATCCCAAACTCCCTACGTCACTGATAGTAGGAAGATTCCTGAATAACAAAGGTCTTGCTTATAAAAATAGACTCCTCAGCATATATTTGAGCATCGAGATCGCCCAAAAGGTACCTCCGAAATATATGAACATGAGGAATCCCTCTTTGCTTACCAGAATTCAACGAGTTACAGATCCAAGTCAGCAAAAGGTCGTGCCTTATTAAATCCCGAATAGAGGAAAGTGATTTCAGTGATTAGAAAATGTAAAGCCTATACCGGTAAGATGACTGGATTTGCTGTTATGAAGAAAAGGAAGCGGGGGCTGAAGTCGCAATGAAGCAGGGATCAGTTCCATTTATATGGTACATAAAAAACGGTCTGGGGGGATTCCTGCAGTCGAAGCCAATCTGTACCAAAGAACCGAGAAGCATCGTACAGCTGTTTCATCCTTATTTGGAAACATCAAATTCGCGAAACTCCAGGGTGTCCCGAACCCGAGGCCTCCCAACTAATAGTTTGAAAACCTAACCATTCGACTATGAGTGGCTGACCTGTGCTTAAGCAGAATGTAACGCTGCCCATCTTTCAATCACGAGATCCACATCGCGTGGTTACATGTGTTGGCTGCCTCCTCGAGCACCGACTTCCCCATTGGAAGTTTCAGTACTTCTTGGCTTTTCAGCACAGACTAGCTTCGTTTACAAGACCATATATCCAGGACCAAATCTCCGAATCTCCTCACAATACCAGTAAGACAACTAAACCAGACTATCCCGTTGGAACACTTGAGATTCATCTATTTCCGCACTTACTCTAGCAGCAATTAGGAAACTGATACTTCCGATTCCCAGTTTTTCTAACCAAACTGCATAATTACTGATACACCTGTTTCTAATGCGGGTCTTTGATTATCCTACAGTCCTGTACAATGATAGACACAAAGGAAAAAGAATCAAACAGTCCTTTCACAATTGTGAGTGAAGTGAAGAAACCATTCGTGAATGTATGCTGCAATTTGCCAGCGAAGCTTCTGCTTTACTCTGGACAGTGCAGTCACGGATCACGAGAGACGTTGCATGCCTTGAGATGTTCTTAATTTGGACTGGACTCAGTACCTTTTCTCAACCACACAAATGTTGTTTTAGGGTTTTGTATGTAAGAAAACCAGTGTAATCCTCGGTCCACTGGTACCTATTTATTTTGGAAAGCTCCTAGTCTAAAGAATGTAGTGCAAATCCATAAGGACCGGTTGTTTTGATGATGTTTCGTACACTGTACCAGATCGATCAATGACGGTTTCTAAACTCCTGTTACATACTTCAAAATGTCAGACAATCCCCAGAACTGTCTGTCATTGTCCAATCTGGTGAGAGTGGAAGGAAGTCTTTTACCCCAGAAACAGTGCGACTTGTTCAGTTGTCCTCAGCTTCATGTGTGGTTGCGTCACCATGCCGAGTGATAGGTGCGATTCGTTCTTGAATTGCAATGCAGCTACCACTTTTCAATAGATGCTTGCTGCGATTTCGCTAGTCCAACCCTCTCGGTCGT